GAAAACGTCTGATATGAACGATATGGTAGTCCTGTCGCTTGTCGAGAAAAAACAGGTTGGCTCAGCGCCAAGCGCGGACCGCGGACACGCCATATCATTGGCAGCGAACCAGAGTTTGAGTTGCTTTTTTTTAAAAGTTGTATTGTTTAGTCACCAACGGACTTACGAGATAATGTCGACTTATTAATATTTGCAGTTATTTCGGATTAGTTTGATGAATGAAAGTTTTGTACTATTTTTTGCATATCCGAGTTCTCTACAAAGCAAGTTTCGTTGTACAGGACTCAGCACATGACAATTTGCGTGCTCGGCTACTGGTGGGCCGCCGACTCAGTGACGACCCCGCCCCTGCTCCCTGGCGGCTGCCAAATTACGTACCCCCTGTTAGGGGTTCCAACAACGGATGATGTGCCCTGAATTCAGTGCTGATGTCTTCATGTGGCATCAATCCGACAGCAGTGGAAAAATGAAAACATTGAAAAAAAATGGAAGATCTGCGAAAACAAACGTGTCAAAAGAAAGCACGGAGGCGTTATCAGGGATTTAATGTGAAGCAGCACGGAGAAAATGAGGATCATTTCACGACAAGGACTGCAGAATAGCGATTGAGAATAGAATGCATTGTCAGCACTCGAGTATCAATTGTTCGCGGCCATCCAGAGTTGCAGTTAGAATTAGAGGACGCTTTGTGCCGTGGCATTGGAGCGAGCTATATCACGGTCCAAGTTCAACCCCAAGCCAAGCACTCCGAAAGTACCCTTCGTCCGACACGCCGCTATGGAGCTTTCTTTAAGGCAAGTTGGCCACGCATGTTAAATACCCCAAGACGCTAGGATCATTCTTCTGGCAGTATAGATAGAGTGGGCGTCAAGTCGTGGACAGCGCCGGCCTACAGCTGGGTTCTTCCCTGGAGAAAGTGCCGCGTTTTAAGGTGCGCCTTTATCAAGTCACAACTTCACGTCCAAACGCACCACCCGCCGCCCACAAATGGACGACCGTTCCTGACGCTCGTATTCATTCATTTGCTAAGCAAATTATGAAGCGAAGGGATTGGTATGAAGCGGCCGTGATGCTGCATGCATACATGGGTACACATTATGCAGCCGTACTTCGTTAGACGGATCCGGTTCGGTAAAATGCCTACGTCGGAAACTGTCCCGAAATCGAGTTACAAGTCACTGAGAACGGAGGCTTTTCTCTTCGCGGGATTTTGACCGTTTCACTCCATTCTTTCGCCATTTCCCCACTATACAGCGCCCTTTTAGCTTTTTAGGCTGACCATGGGTAGGAAATCATTGTGCCAACTGCCTAAGAGTGGAGCCTCTGAAGCGTGGAGAGCTGAGCTGTGAGTCACTACGTTGGCACTTGTTAACAGAGTTTGAGCTAGAACCCCGTTGTTAAGCCGTTGTGACGTTTTGATTCAACGACGCAACAATTTGGTGAAAACAGAAAACAACGCTGGAATTCCGAAGATTTCTTCTTTCCAACAAGGCTTTCTTTTTTCCATGCCTGCTACTCGAATCCCCCGTTGTGATGTTGTTGTGACATATTCCGGGCCGGGCTACATGAAAAGACTACCCCTCCGATGCCCAGTTTGTTTGGAGACTTTTGCATGCTTCATAGAACATATTTTCGCAACGGTATCAAAAGAAAATAATTCGGCGCCGAATGAAATCACTTCTGTAATGCGCCATGCATAGGGCTCTCACGCAGAGGTATAGGGAAGCTCCAGCTCGTAAATAAGGCCTTCTCCGTGCAAGTAGATGTGCTCCTGCGATCAGAAATGTCCGGAAGTGTATTTTCATCTGTTTATTAATTATTGACTTGTGGGCGACCACCGTATCTGCTGTCAACGCCCCCTCCCCACTTCAAAAAGGGCCCTGCGCTTACGACCCACCTCCCCCCTCCTCTCTCTTGAGGTCAAATACGACCCCCTGTTGTGATCATCACAACGATGGCGTGCCGTGTGTGGACGCTTCGTTCACTGTTTTTGCTCTCTTATACGAAGTCAATACTATGAAAGAAATGCTGCGATGGGGTAGTTTTACTCTGGAAGGATGTTTGAGAAAATGATTTTCTACTTTTCTCTCCTTTAATTCACGAACGATTTTCTTTTGCATACTGCTTATGAATGTTATTTACCAAAGCCATAACTGCAACGCAGTAAGACCTTGAAAAAATGGAAATAAAGGTAATCCTGACATCGAAATCTGTTTAGTGGTCCTTCACCAGTTGCGATAGCTTCCAGTGAGGTTCACCGGCGAATCTCTCTCCAAATCATGAAAAAAGGTCGTCCAGTTGATAGCGTCTTCATTGGAGAGACATTAGTGGCTCGTGTCGAAAGCGACATCTCTCGTCAGTTCCTATCTGCTTTTGATGCTTTGATAGAAACAAAATGCCCAGAATATCAACATTTCCGCTTTTCAGCCAATCGCTTACGCATCATCGAATGCACGGCGCATCGTGTCGGCGGAGTTGGGCCTCCAACATCAGTCGCCTTGATCGCAGATGGGTTCGTTCATCCTCCAGTGTTTGCTTATATCTGCCTTTTTCTGCTCTTTTCATACTTGCGCTCTTTAATGCAGGCGAAATTTCTGAAAACTGTCTGATCTGTCGCAAACTGGTTGTTACTACGAAGTGAGGGGCACATTCAGGGTCAACCCAGCTTTACTGCTGTCGCTGACTTCTTATTCAGCAGTAACTCTTCATAAGCGCAACTCAGGGCACGTCATTGGTTGGAGATTTTGTTCGAGTTCGTACGACCCCCTTGAAAGCGGACAGATACGACCCTCTTAGCTCTCTTCTCATCAGGGCACATCATTAGTTGGGGCTTCTGGTTAAGTCCGTGCGACTTCATCCTTTCCTCCCAAACCGCGAGAAAAATACAACCCCTCTCATCCCCATGCCTCCCACCCTACCTAACCCTTTCTACATTTTCCCAACTTCATACTAGTTTTCCGACATTTCCCGAGAATTTTCCCTCTTTTTCCCAAAAATTTTACTCTAGAGGCAGGGCACATCATTGGTTGGGGATTCTAGTCAAGTCTGTACGTCCCCCCTTTTCTTGGGAGTTGGTACGACCTCCCCGTCCTCTGTCCCTCCTATCTTCCCCTCCTTCCCCATCAAATGGAGCCGTCGAGCGGGGGGAAAATAGCACATGTGAAACAGGAAAAGTTGCGAGACAATACGACTCCGCTCCCCTCCCAACAGTGACCAAGTACGACTCCCCCTACCCCCCCCCCCTTTACAACGTCCGTGAAGCGAGAAAAATCAACTATCAAAATAAATTTTTCTCAGCCCAAATACGACCCCCCCCTCCCTACTGGGGATTCCTCATGTGTGCCCTGTCTAGAGGGGGCATGTAGTACACAAGTACATGTGAAACAGGAAAAACCAGGGGAGGTCAACCACTTTGCTCAGAAGGCCAGAAGGCAAATACGACACCCTACCTCTCCCATCAACGACCAAATACGATCTCCTTTTGAGGAATCCCCATTAGTGACGTGCCCTGCTTCTCATCGAGCGGGCCGGGGGAGGTGTAGCACATGTGAAGCGGAAAAATCGCGCGAAAAATACGATCCCCCGTTCCCCATCCTACTTGCCATTTTCTTAGATTTTTCGAGATTCCTACCAGTTTTTCCGGAATTTCCCAAAAATTTCATTTCTTTGCTCTCCGCAATAACTTTGCTGTCGAGCAGGCGAGGGAATATGTAGTACATATGAACCAGGAGAAACCACCGAAAGCCAACAACTTCTCTCAGACATATACGACCCTCTCATTGAGGAATCCCTAACGATGATGTGCCCTGTGCCCCATCCCTACCATTCTCAACCAGTATGCTAATATGTTTTGCGGTCGCCAGCCTCTGTAGAAGAAATCAGCTCTCTGTTAGCCAACAGATGTACCTAGTTCCAAATAACCGGCATCAGAACCAAGGAAGAAATGGTGGCTATAGAAATTTGGCCCTCGCAGTTCCAATTTGATAGTGGAAGCGTGAGCGTGGTAGAGGACGAACTGTAAATGGAACCGCTCTGACGAAAAATACCGAAATATGTGCAGCAAATCATTGAATTCCCTTCTATGTACACATCCGTCCCAGAAAAGACTTTCGTTTTGGCTTTCGCATAAAGCGTGGTCGAGAAATTATGCCATGCAGTTGTGAACTGACTTAACCATACTGAGGGCGCTTTTATACCGTTGGAACTTTAGATGCGCCCTTCTT